GCTGGCGAATTCTGGGAGTTGAAGTCCACTCATCTTAAAGTGGCCAAGTTTGGACAACACTGTCTTAGGGCTTGGTATGGTTATAGACATTTCAGTTACATAGTAAAACAGAGGAGATGACATTTTATAACATTTCATTTTCCTCAAAGCTTCTAAATTCTTTAGATGGGGGGTATTTTATACTTGAGACAGTCATTCCTATCTGCATAAAATAAGCTTTCTCTGTCATCTTTTTTTTAATGATTTTAGTTTATAAGCTTATCTTTTCCATAAAGACCAAGGCCCAGAACTCTACCATGACCCTAACCCTAACCCCTTATATACTTCCAATGTTGTCTTATAACTTGTCTTACTGCTATTAAGAGCAAAGAATTAATGTTTGACTGTTTACAATTTGTTCTCCACACTAAATATATTTAGAAGTTTCACTTGTAGTATTTGCTTAATATTGTGCTTTTGTTATCAGTCCTATTTCTGTGAAGATTTCTATCCAAAATGTATGTACTACATTATGAGAGTAACAAAAATGAAGGCCCGTTCTTATATCTTTTTATCTCCAACATAAAACTGGCTGTTTATCATACGAGAAAGTACAACTGTGGTAAGATACCATCTACAAAATATTTTAAAGAACATTGCTTATATTTTTGCTGATAATGAAAATGAAGCATAGCAAGATCCATGATTTTTCCTCAGTCTTAGCTCCTAAGTTCATTAAATATGCTATTTTCAACCCAACCCTTTTTTATTTACTTCAAAAATCTAGTAGCAATCTAAGTAATTTTACTGAAACACCCTCTGGATTAGTCACATGAAAACTAATAACATGTAGGTACAGATTGAGTTACAAAGTCTACTTACTGCCCCATGCAATATCAAAGTTCCTATTGATGTCAACACCAATGCAGTTACTCTGGGATGTATTGGAACGATTCTTTCTCCAGAAGCGATCCTGCTTGACAAAAATCATTAGGGACCTCCATCTGACCCGTAGACATTGCTGTACTTTTTTGTTTGTTTATACTAATTATGAGTGGACTGCATTAATTTGGCTATAGTGCTCACTGCAGAAAAACAGTATAATTAAAAAGAGGGCAGTGAGTTCAGTGAGCTTTCTTTTGATAGCCTGATTCTCTTGCTTACAGTAAGAGAATCAGACTATCAGAAGAAAGGACTTTTACGGTACAGTAAGGAGTTGCTTACTGTAACTCCTTGCTATGCTGTTTAGATAAAAGGTTTATTCAGGTGTTCTGTAAAAGAATGCAGGCAAGGAGAAGTGAGGCATCCTCTGATCCATTAGGCAACTATCCCTGATGAGGACCCCACAGATGGAAAAAGCCCCATCCAAACTTTGGTTCTGTCAAGCTGCCCTGACAAGAGTGATCTCCAATATTTCACAACTCATCTTGACTTTTGACCTTGGCTTGGCAGAAAGTTCATAGACATGGCTTGACTAGTATTTCAAACCCCAAATAAGACATATAGAACAATTGATATCCCACTGCATTAAAAAATATCAGGAGCTTTTATATGTTCAAGAGGGTTTAAATCAAAAGATGCCTTAATTTTGCCCTTCTGAATTAATTGCTTTTTGATGCAGTCCTTAGTGGCCTTAAAGTCAGTCTGGTTCTTGCCTTAGCAGGATCCATCCTTACAAGGTTGGTATCTGAGATGGTTAGATATCTTGATAAGTTTCATTCATGGCAGTACAACTAATTCATTAAAGTATACTCCCAATAATTGTTTCTTCACACATTTTCATTTAGTGGGTCATTGATCTTAATGAGCATCCATTCCTGTCCTTCACTACTAATTTCATATTGACAGAAACATTCTGTGGCTTGATAACTGTAACTACATTCAGTGAAATAAGTGCATTTAGATTTGCTTCACTGCAAATTCTTTGCAGACTTTTCTCATTAATGCCAGGGACATTAAACAGGCCAAGACCCAAGATCCAATCAATAGTCCCCCTACCCCCAACCTTCATGCATTCTTTTTTAGAGTCCTGAAGAAATATGTGTGTGTATGTCTGTCTGCCTGTCTGTCTATCATCTATTATCTATCATCAGATTTACAGTATGTGGCCACCCATCTCACACGAGGTGACTCTGGGCAGCATACAACAAAACCAACCATTAAAATTGAATATAAAAGATAACTAGAACAATTAAACCATCAAAATAAATAAAAACAAGATTGTGAGAGGGTTATGTCATATGCGGTGCAACCAATGTACAAGCTGTCTGCTGTCAGGGGATCTCCAGGCCTGATGAAAAGCACATATTTTGAGGGCTTTCTGAAAGGCCATAAGGGTTGGGGCTAATCTCACCCCAGGGGAGATGATGTTCCAGAGGGCAGGCACCACAGCAGCAAATGCTCATCTCCTGGGAAGTCCTTAGCAGACGGGCCTGCAACATGCCTCTCCTGCTGGACCTGATGTGACAGGTAGAAGTAATTGGGGAGAGGCAGTCCCTCAGATAACCTGATCCCATGCCATGTAGGGCTTAAAAAGTCAAAACCAGCACCTTGAATTGCACCCAGAACAAACCAGCAACCAATGCAGCTTACGGAGCAGAGGTGTAACATCTGTCCTTCTAGGAACACCCATAACTGCCCGTGCCGCTGCATATGATTTTTTTTCTTCATAGTCTCTTTGATTTTGGGTAGAAGCTGGTTAAGTTAATTAGAAAGATCTGCAACAAATAAATATAATTGAAAAGAGATATCGAATTGAGATGAATCTGGTGGCCTGGAGTTATGTTATAGTTTTATGTAG